TTACTAAATAGCATTTCATTGTTTATCTAGTCAACTCAATGAAAAACATTGGGTTGTGTCCAATTTGGAGCCATTATGAACAGAGCTGCTGTAAATGTTCATGTATAACTTTTGTATGAATTCAAGCTCTTATTTCTCTAGGGAAGATGTCAGCGCCTAGTTTTACTAGATCCAGGTTAATTTTTGATGAAAGTGGAAAAGGAAGATGAACACTTAGTCAGGAACCACAGTGTAGAACACCGGCAAAAGTAGAAATGGAAAGGAGAGCTGCTCTCTTTGGACCCCATGTGATTCAAACAAGGCCGCAGGGCTTTGGAACATTTAGCCAAGGGCTAAATCAATGTTTTCAATGTGGCCAGGTACCAAGGGAGGAACATGGTATGTTTTAGGTGGGACACAAACATTTTTAAACAGTTTTGTGCTTGTTTTAATTTATATTATAAAAACTATAATCAACTTATCCAAGCTGTGATTTCATAGATATTGTTAATGAGGCTAAATAAGGTCTGACAATCCATTTTCTATAAACCACAACAAGTATAAGAAGAATGTTCAAATAGTACATTGATATAGCAAAACTTGTAAGGATGACATGCAAGTGACTAATGTTTTAGAAACAATATAGTAAATTGTAAAATTAGTATGTATTACCTGCAAACTACTTAGTAACCTAGTAATTATAGAAGAGAAAGAGATATAGTTAGCAGAAGGTACACTAGCTTGGTCTAGGGGAAAGGTACCATTTATCCTCAACAGCTCTCATAGAAAATATGAATGGCAAACAAGGGCAAGAGAAGCTGTGTCTTTATCAAGATCATGTATTTTTCCCTAAAATGACTAGATTTAGCCTTCATCTTATAGTATGTCAGGAAGCCATCTTGACACTTATGCCAAAATCCAGTAGTCTGAATTTAAAATCCCCACCCACTTACTTACCACCTTCCAGTGTGGGTTTCTGAAAGATATGACACAGAGCATGGCAGCATCATGAACTCTGTTAGTTCCTGGTGAGACTTTAACTCAATCCCTTTCTGCTTTCTTAGTCTGGTGAACTGGATTGTACCCCATGGGAACCTAAGCCCTAGAGTTGGACTTCTTCTTCCAAAGACTCTACTCCTTGGAATAGTG